ACCTCGGACCAGTTCCAGAGGGGATGCCAGTAATATTTGAGCCCAAGGAAGACAGCGAGCTCCCAGACGGACTGGAATTGGGCGAGGAACTTACTAAAATAACCCCGGGAACCTCTAGTCACGTGGCCGTCGTGGTCCAAAACAATACAGACAGAAACATCTTGTTAAAGCGCAGAACAGAATTGGGCCGGATACACCTGGTAAAGTCAGTCCTACCAATTCCAAATACTCCCGACTCGTACTCTCGAGGAGACGAGGATTTTTACCCTGAAGCTACCTTGCATCCTGGTCAGGAACAAGATGGATGGGAGCCACCAGTTGACTTGAGTCAGTTAGAAGACAATGAACAATTGATCGTCCACGAAATGCTACGGCAAGAAGCTGGTGCCTTTGCAAGAAACGACGATGAGGTTGGCTGCGTGGAGAACTTGGTGCTTGATCTCCAGTTAAAGGACAATGAGCCAGTACAGAAGAACTATATCTCCATCCCCAAGCCACTCTATGGGGAAGTGAAAGAGTACTTAGAAGACTTGATTAATCGAAATTGGATCTGCAAGTCCTGTTCGGCTTACTCCTCACCCATGGTCTGTGTTCGCAAAAGGATGGAAGTCTGCGACTTTGTATTGATTATCGAGAATTGAACAAGAAAACATATCCAGAACGACAGCCGATTCCCCGTATACAGGATATCTTAAATGGCCTAGGCGGCAACAAATGGTTTACAGTTCTGGACCAAGGGAAGGCCTACCACCAAGGCTTTATGACAGAAGAAAGCCGCCCCCTGACTGCATTCGTGACCCCCTGGGGATTGTATCAATGGAATAGAATACCGTTTGGGCTAATGAATGCACCGGCGGCATTCCAAAGGTGCATGAATGAATGTCTAGATGGCTTACGTGACAACATCTGTATTCCCTACCTGGATGATGTCTTGGTGTATAGTAAGACCTTTGAGCAACACGTTCAGGATGTCCAACAAGTCCTGCGTCGACTGCAGGAACATGGGATAAAGTTAAAGCCATCAAAGTGCAAGTTCTTCCAACGACAAGTTAGATATTTGGGGCGGGTTGTTTCCGGCGATGGCTACTCTCTAGACCCAGAGGACACGGCTGCCGTACACAACTTGGCGAAACAGAAACCAGCAACAGTGGGTGATGTGCGTAAACTGCTAGGGTTCCTGAGTTACTACAGGCAATACATCCAGGATTTCTCACGCATAGCTAAGCCCCTGTACGATCTAATGGCTGGCCCTGATCGATTGGCTAATAATCATAAGGTAACATGGACAGAGGAACATCAGAAGCGGCTTGACATGCTGGTCGACCGACTGACTTCTCCTCCAGTGATGGCATTTCCCGACTTTACGAAGCCATTTGTACTTCACACAGACGCCTCGCAAGAGGGACTTGGAGCTGTATTGTATCAAGAACAGGACGGGAAGCTCAGAGTTCTAGGTTATGCCTCTAGGACACTAACTCCAGCAGAGAAAAATTACCACATGCACGCGGGAAAATTGGAGTTCCTTGCCCTCAAATGGGCAGTAACTGAGAAGTTCCGTGATTACTTGTACTACTCCACCTTCTTCACTGTTTACACCGACAACAATCCACTAACTTACATTCTGTCGTCAGCTAAGTTGTCTGCAGTAGGGCACCGGTGGGTGGCAGAACTGGCAGATTTTAATTTTAACATCAAGTATCGGCCTGGCAAATCTAACATTGACGCGGATGTACTATCCCGCCTACCGCTAGATTTCAGTGCATACATGGAAACCTGTATTGCAGAAATGGAAAAGGACGCAATTTGTGCAACAAGTCAAGCAGTGATCCATCAGGAAACAGACGCCACACCCTGGGTGGCAGCAGTTTCAGCAAGAGTTGGCATTGCTCACGCAGAACCGGGCGTCACAGATTTGGTTTTTCGCCAACTTACGTTAGAAGAAATATTAAGGGCTCAACGGGAAGACCCCGACATCTCACGAATCCTGGCCTACAAGAAACGGGGATATCCCCCATCAGGAGGAGAGCGGAAAAATGAGACTCGTACAACATCTTGCTACTTGAGAGCATGGAATAAACTCCATATATCAGCGGACGGGATCCTGTGGCGCCAAACTAAGAGTCGATTGCAGCTAGTATTACCCACAAAGTTTAAACAGTTGGTTTACCAAGAACTTCACATTGAAATGGGTCATCTGGGTGCAGATCGAGTGGTGGACTTAGCGAGATCTAGGTTCTATTGGCCTTACATGCAAGAGGAAATCGAGTATTTCATCGCCAACAAGTGTCACTGCATCCAGCAAAAGAAGCCCCAAATCTCCCCTAGAGCACCAATGGAGAGCATTACGACGACTGCCCCTTTTGAGATGGTGTCTATAGACTTTCTTCATTTGGAGAAAAGCCAACGGGGATTTGAATACATTTTGCTGATAGTAGATCACTTCACAAGGTTTGCACAGGCCTACCCAACCCGAAACAAGACAGCACGAACGGTGGCTGAAAAGATTTACAATGACTTTGTACCACGATTCGGATTCCCAGCCCGTATACACAGTGATCAAGGAGGAGAATTTGAGAACAATCTCTTCCATCAACTACATAAGTTGTCTGGCGTTTCCAAGTCTCGCACCAGCCCCTACCACCCTCAAGGGAATGGGCAAGTGGAGAGGATGAACCGCACGCTATTGTCTATGCTGCGAACACTCCCAGATTTGAAGAAACGAAAGTGGGATGAATCACTCAACAAGATGATCCACGCGTACAATTGCACTAAGCATGAGGCGACAGGATACGCTCCGTATTACTTGTTGTTTGAAGAACACCCCGCCTGCCCATCGACCTGATTTTCAATTTGAATCAAGAGAGTGCAGAGGGAGATTATAACACTTACGTCCAAAACTGGCAGCATGATATGAAGGAGGCATACCGGATAGCTCAACAGAATGCAAAGAAGACTGCCGAGCGCGGCAAGCAATATTACAACAAGAGAGTCTCAGGTGGCGTTCTTCAGCCAGGCGATCGGGTGCTAGTTAGAAACTTAACAGAGCGCGGTGGACCCGGAAAATTACGATCCCATTGGGAGTGCGCTATCCACGTTGTGGTTGAACGAATGGGGCTCAAAGCCCAGTCTACAAAGTTAAGCCCGAGAGTGGAGGTGGCCGCGCAAGAGTGCTTCACCGGAATTTACTACTGCCTTGTGACGCTTTGGAAGCAGATGCCCCAAACCTGGGATTTGGTACGCGACCCCAAAATCAGCAGTAGAGAAACGACCTTTGTCTGTTTCGGGAAATGACCTACAGAATTCGGGGAAAGATGATGATGATTTCGGTAGTGTGGACCTTGTAGAGGAAATACCTACTGAAGTAAGAACTTCAAACTCAGTGTCTCCAGGACGCGATTTGCCTTCAGAGTCAATTGAGGATTCTGCGACTACTGAGGGCACCAATGGGCCATCCAGCGAAATACAACTTGCAAATGAAGGAAGTGCTGACAATGACGGATCAGAGGGAGAGGACATTGCTGAGCAGGACATGTGGACTCGGCCGCAGCGCCAAAGGAGACCGCCGCAGATCTTAACTTAAACTCCCTGGGAAATCCACAGTACCAGTCGGCTGAGCCAGTATTCAGCAGTTCACGCGTTAACGCCATTCAAACTCCAGCTATCACAGCTATTCATCCGGGAATACCCCTGTATTTCTGGGTGTGGCCATGCTGTTTCCAACCTGTCTACTACCTGAGGGCTTGAGAGGAGCCTCTTATAAGACCCAAACATTAAAACAAAAAAAAAAAAAAAAAAGAAAATCAAAAGCACGCAAGGTGCTGAAGGAGACAACGTCAAACAACAATTACAGTAGCTGCAGAGAACTCTGATAAATAGTTTTGTAATATTTAGAAGAACACTTTCATTTTCGGCGGGGAAGTGTGTAGAGTGCGTGACATGTTTTGTTGAGTTCATGAACCACAAAGGGTGTCGGGAAAAAAAACAGAAAAGCATGTGCTCGGAGTTTTCGAATAAATACAACCTTGTGTTTAATTAATCTGGTGATTTGAGTGTGTAACAATAACAGCTTGCATTCCTTTTTCGGCCCCCTTAGTAATCTTTTTCATTGTTACTACTTCCCCCTCGGGATCAAAACCAAGTTAATTACCCAATTAATTTTCATCTAAATGCACTTTGTCATCTGGAATTTTTACACTCTAAAGATCACTTGTTTTTTGCCCAAGGTTCTATCTATAAGAATAATGGTTTTATCTAAACCTTTGACTTACGCTTGCTGTGGATATCTGTATTGATAGGAGGCCACAAATTTAGATTTGAAAAGTCTTAGTTGGTTGTGTTTTTCGCATGAAAACAGGGGCAATTAGTGTCAATTCCATCTCCAATTTTATGATACTCCAAATGAAGGTAATGAAAGCAAAGTTCTGAATATACCCGGAAGAATGCTTATAATGATCACTGATTTAAGAAAAATTTGACATAGGCTGAAATCATTGGTTTGAATTCCCAGAAGCAGCGACCTTTTTTAAGAGTAATGTTAGCAAAATAGCTCTCCATAAAATTTCCCTAACTAAACATTTCAAGGCAAGACACCTCACACATTTAGATCTTCTGCAAGCCCACCAGAGATAACTAAATAATTCTTAGAAAAATGTTCATAGGGAGAGGAAGAGGAAGGAAACCTTGATGTCACCGAACCAGACAGCGAATGGGTAATTACTTTTGCACCAATATTCATAGCCACTTTAGACACATTCTACGTCAGGTGCATACCCTGTGTTGATCTAAAATGCCTTTTCTTTATGTAACATGCATTGGCTTTGAACGATTTAATAATTGTAATAGAGAGTAAAGATAATCTTGCCTATTGTATCTTGATCATTTGGTTCTCAACAGAGTTGATAATGAAAATTGATCACAGTAAGAGGACTGTAGAGTCATAACTAACCCCTTAATTCAGTATTGGGAAAAATCTGTTGCATTTCAAAAGTGTAGTTTGGGTCAACCACCTTCTCTCTGATTGCGTCAACAGGTTTCTTTTCAGTCAACTTGGTCACTTGACCATTCAAAGGTGAAACAACTTCTGGAAGCCTCTTCACCCATTTGGTTGATCTCTTTCCAGATATGAAATTTATCTCTGGACTGTATTGGAGAGTGAAGAGAAGCTCACCTAAAGTTTGATTGGATCGCTCGACAATTCCCTGGGCCCATATGAATGAATGTTCACATTTCCTCTTCTTATTCTTACGCCATGCTTTGCCATCTCTCTTGTGACTTGAACCATGAATTTGTGCCCGGGATCAACTTGAATATTAGGCCATCTGCATGGTACACACTCATAAATTATCAGTGAACGTGGTTGCTTGACTATTCAACAGTGAAACAACTACTGGAAGCCTCTTCACCCATTTGGTAGATATGAAATTCATCTCTGGACTGTATAGGAGAGTGAAGATGAAGTGTGAGTGAGGAGAGAGAGAGTGAAAAGAGAGAGAGAGTGAAGAGATGCTGACCTAAGAATCAATTGAATTATGCAATGATTCCCTGATACCTAGGAACGTTCACATTTCCTCTTCTTATCCTTACACCGTGTTTTGCCATCCCCCTTGTGAGTTCAACCGTGAATTCATGCCCAGAAGCAAGTTGAAGATCATTAGGCCACCTGCGTGGTACATACTCATAAATTATCTGAAAAGCTCTTAACACCTCAGTAGAATCCTTTGAGGTGGGAGGAAACATCAACAATTTTTAATGCATATTTATAGACTTTCCTCCCTTTCAGGAGCCTGTCATGAGAAGGGCAAAAATCTTAAGCTTGATGAACTACATTTGGGAATGGCACATCAAGAGTTGGTCTTGCCATATGTTTAGGTGCAGGCAAATAAATCTGCAAGATGGCTTGCTTCATCAGTCAAAGCTTTTTGATGTCATCAGACACTCCAGCTTCTCCAACTTCATAAACGCAGGCAATCCATCCAAAAGTGTTTAGGGCTATAGTAGATTTGTGAAAGATTTATTTCCATTCTGTTAGAGTTCACAGCCAGTCTCAAAGTAAAGGCACTGGTAACAACGTAGATCATTTCACCTTGCTTCGGCACCAAAAGGTGGAGGCTGTGCTCCCGAAATATTTATCAAGGGATGTATTTGATGGGGAAGGGGGAGGGGGAGGGGCTACAGCCCTCCCTGCCCCTTTCTACCCAGCCATGTATGTGATCTCTAAGAAATTTTAGCACTTAAATATGCAGTAAATAATTTAATCTGAACTACATGCATTACTGTGTGCCTTACTGCATTTTGAATTGGAAGGGCTAAAGTATGCATACTCTATGACGACGATGTATAAGTACTCTCTGCATCAAATTTCACTTAATTGTGATGTACATCTCTTCTGCACTGAATTGCTTTAGAAGTATATGTCAAAGTAACAATGGTCTATGCTTAGCCACGTATCGACATCTGAAATAAAGAGCTCCTCTACTACACACCCGAAGACTCTTGTGGTTATCGGGAAAAAGTTTATTGCATTTCAAAAATGTAGTTGTTTGCATGTTAAAGTGTTCATCAGCATCACATTGGTCCTTCAAGTGCCCCAAACTCCATGGATCTGTAAACGTTTCTGTATAAAGGATTCACTTGAAAGAGTTTACTTGTAAAAGGTTTTTTTCCTTAGGTGTCTTTTAAAAGAGGGTTTGTCCCAAAGATTGACTTTTCAAATAGTGGATGTGGCTAGTACACTAGTGTTTATGATACGCTTTGTCAGCTTTTTAACTGCAAGATGTAAGTCTGAGATATTTATAGAGAAACCACTGTTATGTATAGCCTTTTTTAGAGCACAGCTTTTGAGACAGGGCCCAGATTCTCAAGTCAAGAGAGCCAGCACCAGGAAGACAAAAACTCTAAATGTATTAGTGAGGCTAACAAGTGAGTGCCGTAACAAGCATGTGTATTTTCTCTTTCCTTTAAAGGGTGAAAACCCTGGCATTACAATGTTTTGCTTGATTTGTCTTTATTCATGTACATACAATGATGAGAAAACCAACCAGGTTCCAATTTTTTTTGCAAGACAAACAAGCATTTATCATTGTTATTTAGATATAGAACCTTGGATTCATTGTGTGTTACCTTTTGTCAAGATGTTCAACCTTGTATGTGATGCTCTTGCCTGATGTTTTAAATACAAGACATTTTACCTGGGTATGAATTGATGAATTAATTAGGAGAGTTAAAGTATGTACACTCTAAGAGGATGATGTATTATAAGTACTTGCTGTATCCAATTTCGCTCAATGATGATGTACATATCTTCAGCAGTGAATAATTTTAGAAGCATGTGCATAAGTAACAACATTCTCTGCAGAGTTATATACATACCACATAAAGAGCTAGACTACTACGTACCCGAAGACTCTCGTGTTTATCGGGAAAATTCTGTTACATTTCAAAAGTGTAGTTGGTGTCAACCACCTTCTCTTTGATTGTGTCATCAGGTTTCTTTTCAGTCAACCTGGTCACCTGACTATTTAAGGTGAAACAACTTCTGGAAGGCTCCTCACCCATTCGGTTTTTCTCTTTCTAGATGTGAAATTCATCTCTGGACTGTATTGGAAAATGAAGAGACGGTCACCTAAAGTTCGATTGAATTGCTCAAAGATTCCCTGATCCCTAAGAACATTCAAATTTCCTCTTCTTATCCTTACACCATACTTTGTCATCTCTTTTGTGACTTCATTCATGAATTCATGCCCAGGATCAACTTGAAGAATATTAGGCCATCTGCATGGTACACACTCAAAAATTGTCTGAAAAGGTCTTTAGACCTCAGTAGGGCGACAGCCCTCTTTGCCCCTTTCTACTCAGCCACCTGTGTGATCTCTAAGAAATTTTTGTACTGAATAGTATGAAGTAAATAATTCAACCTGAACTACATCCATAAATGCATTTTGAATTGGGAGAGCTAAAGTATGCATACTTCAGGAGGATGGTGTAAAAGTACTTGCTGTATCAAAGTTCCCTCAATGGTGATGTACATTTCTTCAGCACTGAATTGTTTTAGAAGCACATGCCAAACTAACAACGGTCTCTGCATAGCCATCTACATCTGACATAAAGAGCTCCACTACTACATACCGAAAGACTCTTGTGTTTATTAGGAAAGGTCTTGCATTTCAAAAGTGTACTTGTTTGTAATGTTAAAGTGTTCATCAGCATCACTCGTAGGAGATATAGATGGCTCTATAACTGCTCCAAACTCCACAGATATCACTGAAAATATTTCTATATAAAGGATTCACTTGAAAGAGTTGGCTTGGAAAGGGTTTTTTTCCTTTTGTGTCTTTTAAAAAGGGTTTTATTTCAAAATTTCATTTGCCAATTGCAGGATGCGGCTTATCTCCTAGTGTGGCTTGTATGCTGGTGTTTATGATACTCTCTGGCAGCTTTATTCATGTACATATGATTAACAATTAAAGGAAAGCCAACCAGGTTCCTTTTTTTGTTTTGCAAGATGAACAAGCATTTATCATTATTATTTAGATATAGAACCTTTAAATCAATGCGTGTTATCTTTTGCCATGATGTTCAACCTTGAATGTGATGTTGTTGCCTAATGTTTTAAATACAACACATTTTACTCGGGTATAAGTTGTAAAAATTAAATGCAATGTGAATCAGGAGAGCTATAATATGTACACTTTAAGAGGATGAAGTACTATCAGTGAATTATTTTAGAAGCATGTACAAAAGTAACAACATTCTCAGCATAGCTAACTACATACTACACAAAGAGCTAGACTACTATATACCTGGAGACTCTTATGTTTATTGGGAAAAGTTTGTAGTATTTCAAAAGTGTAGTTGCATGGCATCTTTATTGACGACTTTACTGCCAGACAATAAGAACTGCGTTCGAATCCTAAAAGGAAGTTACATTGTTATGATATGCTCAGATAATAAAGTATATGAAACGATTTGATATTTACCCAGTGAGTCGGCTAGGTCCACAGCTGACAAATGACTTGCATTAGTATTATAACATCACTATAACGTATCTCCTTAGCGGATAAATTAACTTAATGATCGATTATAGAATTTCTCGACGTAACAGTATACACTTATAAATTGTCTGATAAGCTCTTGAAACCTCATTAGGGCTACAGCCCTCCTTGCTCCTTTCTACTCAGCCACCCATGTGATCTCTTAGAAATTCTTGTACTAAATAATATGAAGTAAATAATTGAACCTGAACTACATGCATTAATACATGCAGTAATGCATTTTTAATTGGGAGAGCTAAAGTATGCATACTTTATAAGGATGATGTATAAGTACTTGCAGTATCAAATTTCACTCAATGGTTATTTACATTTCTTCAGCACTGAATTGTTTCAGAAGCATATGCAAAACTAACAACGGTCTCTGTATAGCCATCTACACCATCATAAAGAGCTCCACTACTTCATACCTGAAGGCTCTTTTTTATTGGGAAAAGTTTGGTGCTTTTCAAAAGTGTAGCTGTTTAAAATGTAAAGGTCTTCATTAGCATCACTCTTAGGAGATATAGATGGTCGTCTTGGTGCTCCAAAGTCCATAGATAGCACTGTAAATGTTTCTGTATAAAGGATCCACTTGAGAGAGTTTGCTTGTAAAGTTTTTTTTTCTTTCAGTGTCTTAAAAAAGGTTTTATTTCAAAATTTGACTTGCCAAATGCAAGATGCGGCTTATCTGCTGATGCACCTTGTACAATGGTGTTAATGATACTCTTTGTCAGCTTTCTAAACTGCAAGATGTAAGTTGGAGATATTTTTAGAGAAACCACTTTCACTGGTATGTATGTCCTTTTATAGAGCACAGCTTTTGAGACAGGGCCTACATTTTGGAGTCAAGAAAGCTATCACCAGGAAGACAAAAGCTCTAAATGTATTAGTGAGGCAATCAAGTGAGTGCTGAAATAAGCGTGAGCTTTGCATCTGCCCTTCAAAGAGTGAAAGCCTTAGCAGTACAAGATTTTGCTTGATGTGTCTTTATTCATGTACATATGATTAACAATGATGAGAAAGCCAACCAGGTTCCAATGTTCGTTTTGCAAGATGGGCAAGCATTTATCATAATTATTTACATAAAGAACCTTGAAATCAATGTGTGTTATCTTTTGTCAAGATGTTCAACCTTGTATGTAATGTTTTTGCCTAATGTTTTAAATACAAGACATTTTACCTGGGTATGAGTCGCACAAATTAATGCAATTTGAATTGGGAGAGCTAATTAAGTATGTATACCCTAAGAGGATGATATATTATAAGATATACTTGCTGTATCAAATTTCACTGAATGTTTATGTACATATCTTCATCAAAGAATTATTTTAGAAGCATGTGCAAAAGTAACAGCGTTCTCTGCATAGTTATATACATACCACATAGAGTTAGACTTCAACATACGTGAAGACTCTTGTGTTTATTGGGAGAGGTCTGTAGCTCTTTGAGAGTGTAGTTGGCATCAACCATCTTCCCTTTGTGTGGACAGGTTTCTTTTCAGTCAACCTGGTCACTTGACCATTGAAATGTAAAACAACATCTGAAAGGCACTTCACCCATTCAGTTGATCTCTTTCCAGATGTGAAATTCATCTCTTGACTGTATTGGAAAGGAAGGAGACGCTCACCTAAAGTTCGATTGAATTGATTAACGATTCCCTGATCCCTAGGAACGCTCACATTTTCTCTTCTTATATCCTTACACCATGCTTTGCCATCTCTCTTGTGACTTCAACTATGAATTCATGCCAGGATCAACATAAAGAACTTTTGGCCATCTGTGTGGTGCACACTTACAAATATTCTGAAAAACTCTTGAGACCTCAGTATGGCCTCCCTGCCATTTTCTAGTCAGCCAACTATGTGATCTCTTAGAAATTTTTGTACTTGTTATTATGAAGTAAATAATTTAACCTGAATTACATGTATCACTGTATTAATGCATTTTGAATTGTGAGAGCTAAAGTATGCATACTATATAAGGATGATGTCTAAGTACTTGCTGTATCAAATTTCACTTAATGGTGATGTACATTTCTTCAGCACTGAATTCTTTTAGAAGCATATGCCAAATTAGCAATGGTCTTTGCATAGCCATCTACATCCGACATAAAGAGCTCCACTACTACATTCCTGAAGACTGTTGTATTTCTTGGGAAAAAGTCTTGCATTTCAAAAGTTTAGTTGTTTGTAATGCTAAAAAGTTTATCAGCATCACTTTTAGCAGATATAGACGGTCCTCTGTGTGCTTCCAACTCCATAAATAGGTCTGTAAATGTTTCTGTATAAAGGATTCACTTGAAAGAGTTTCCATGTAAAAGGTTTTTTTTCTTTCGGTGTCTTTTAAAAAAGTTCTTATTCCAAAATTTGACTTGCCAGATTGCCTATCCTATCTGGTAGTGCGGCTTGTACGCTGGTGTTTATGATACTCTTTGGCAGCTTTTTAAACTGCAAAATGTAAGTCTGTTATATTATAGAGATTATGTATAGCCTTTTTTAGAGCACAGCTTTTCAGACAGGGCCCACATTGTGGAGTCAAAAAAGCTAGCACTAGGAAGACAAAAACCCTAAATGTATTAGTAAGGCTAACAAGTCAGTGCTGAAACAAGCATGTGAGCTGTCTCTTCCCTTCAAAGGGCGAAAAGCTTCACAGTACAAGATTTTACTTGATTTGTCTTTATTCATGTACATATGATTAACGATGATGAGAAAGCCAACCAGGTTCCAATTTTTGTTTTGCAAGATGAACAAACGTGTCATTATTATTTACATGTAGAACCTTGAAATCAATGTGTTATCTTTTCTGAAGATGTAAACCTTGTATGTGATGTTGTTGCCTGATGTTTTAAATACAAGATATTTTACCTGGGTATGAGTTGTAAACAATTAATGTAATTTGAATTGGAAGAGCTAAAGTATGTATACTCTGAGAGGATGATGTTTTATAGGTACTTGCTGTATCAAATTTCACTCAATGGTGATATACATATCTTTACCAGAGAATTATTTTAGAAGAATGTGCAAGTGTCAACATTCTCTGCATAGTTATCTACATACTACATAGAGAGCTTGACTACTACACACCCAAAGACCGATGTGTTTATCAGGAAAAGTCTGTTGCATTTCAAAAGTGTAGTTGACGTCAACCATCTTGTCTTTGATTGTGTGGACAGGTTTCTTTTCAGTTAACCTAGTCCCTTGACTATTCATTCACCCATTTGGTTGATCTCTTTCTAGATGTAAATTCATCTCTGGGCTGTATGGGAAAGTGAAGAGACACACCTAAAAATAAATTAAAGTGCTGAATGATTCCCTGATCCCTCTGGACATCCAAATTTCCTTTTCTTTTTCCTTACACCATGCTTTGCCATCTCCCTTGTGACTTCATTATGAATTCATGCTCATGATCAACTTGAAGTACATTAGGCCATGGGTGTGGTACACACATAAATTATCTGAAAAGTTCTTGAGATCTTAGTGGAATCCTTTGAGACGAGAGTTTCTGCAAACTTGAATCTGGTTGCAACTTACACAATTTTCAATGTATATTTATAGACTTTCCTCTCTCTTGGTAGCCTGTCATGAGAAGGAAAATAACGATAAGCTTGATGAACTGCATTTGGGGATGGCACATCAAGAGTTGGTCTTGGCATATATATGTTTAGGGGCAGCTAATTAAATCTGCAAGATGGCTTTCTTCATCAGCCAAAGCTTTGCAATGTTGTCATATGCTCCAGCTTTGTTAGCCAACTGTATAAACACAGGAAATCCATTCAAGTGTTCAGGGCTATAGTAGATTCGTGAAAGTTTTATTTCCATAAGTACTTGCTGTATCGAATTTCACTTAATGGTGATGTACATATCTTCACCGGTGAATTATTTTAGAAGCACGTGCTAAAGTAAGAACAGTCTCTGCATAGTTCTCTACTTACCACTTGGCTTATCTTTAAACTTATCTACAACATCACTGCTCATATCCATGTAAAAGTCTTCTGTTTCAATTTCTTACCTCAAGCTTCTAGTGTTCTTTTAAGAGAAGCTTTGTATGGTCACCATACTTCTTCTCGATATAGTTAGTCGTGAAAATCACAGATCAGAGTCTTGCTGATGTCGAGGATGCTCATTTTCCAAAAGACTAGCTTATCGAGAATAAGTTCAAGGATACTCAAGAGTCACCTTGTGGATGCAAAGGACACCTTGCCAATTGTCAAAGTTAGTCATCCAGTTGAAACCTTTAAAAGAAAGCGGCTGGCACATCCCCAACCTTACAGATTGTTTGCTTTAAGATAAGTGAATATATTGTTGGATTGTTGTGATGATTCATATATGGATTATTTGCCCTTCCAAAGCGATTTGAGATCATTGAAACACCTCCCCGAATTTCTTTTTCAGTGATCTACAAAATGTCAGCATAAGTGTGTAATTCAAGCTGTACATTAGTTTCGTTCAAGGTAGTTTCATCAACATCTTTCTATTCCTGCAATTTTTCCCACCATTATTTCCCACTAATTTCCCATGCGTTCTTTGACCTGGTCAACTTCCGCTAAGCCTGGCAGGTGTGGGATGTACTGATCAAAGTAGTATTTTTGCTTCAATTTCTCCATTATGTTTTGTGGATCGAGGATTTTGGGAAGCAGCTGAGCCTCCGTTGCTGGGATGATTGATCTGAGTCGTCTACTCATGAGTAGTTGTGCTGGTGAGGCGACATCATCAATGGGTGTTACTATTCCCCAGTAATCCGAGATATGGATCATGGTTTGCTTTGATTAGCAGATTCTTTACAGTTTGTACTGACTTCTCCATGAGCTTGTTTGCTTGAGGGTAGAGTGGACTTGTGGTAGTGTGTTTAAATTCCCATTGTTTTGCAATGAACAGAGGCTTCTTTGAGATCATTGGCATTCAAATTCTTGGTCTGTCACTCTGGAAGTGGAATTAACCTCTTTCCTTTACACTTCAGGCTTAGAGTCGTATCAGCTTTCTCCAAGAAGAAAACTTTATCATCAGGAGGTACTCCAAGAAGGAGGAGCTCCAAGAAGAATACCTCTCATCAGGATTCCAACCAGACTGTTTAACAAGTTGGGACTAGTCAGAAGCTTGTCATTCAGTGAAACACTGTCAAACTTTGCTGTAGCATCAAAAACTTTGTGGACCTTTCCTGGTTTAGTAGGGTTCCACAATGCATGGTGAAGTAGATACCATGTTTAGAGGGACATTGCTTTAGCCTCCTCTGAAGTCATCCATCTCGCCTGTCCTTTACTGACAATCATTTATGACTTTTGAGTATTTCTCCTTTACTGACATAATTGTTTATGACTTCCTGGTATTTCTCCACCTGTTGTGGGTTCTTCTTACGTTTCTTCTCAGTTGAAAGAAGTCTCGAGACATCCATCACTCAGTTGTTTGGCAGGATCAGGTCTTGTTTCCATAGCAATGCTGTTTTATAGTGTCCTTGTTGCACTCTGCTCAATCTCAAATGTGTTTTTTATATAAACTAGCTAGTTAATACAGTTCAGATACGACATCAAGTTTGCAAGGGCCTTTGGTCACTGAAGGCGCACAACAAGCTGGCTTGGAACAATCAGTTGTGACTACAAAAGTGTTCAGAACTGGTTTGCCCATGTGGGCTGTGGTATATACTGCAGCTGCGGAATAAAGGGAATAAAGTGTGAAGTGTTGTAAGGTACAAACCAGGTGGTCAAGACTTAATACGAAAGTATCAGTGGAGGGCTTTAAATGGAGCTAACTAATGGCTTTCGATGTTGGTACTTGGGCACTCCCAACTGACTGATCTCCCATCTAGAACGTGTAGCTCCCTTTAGATGTCCCCCTGAATCTGATCCATCATTTTCCTGAGGGGCTCTGTAGGTTGTATCTAGACCAGCTGAAGTTGGCGACTGTAAGTGGCCAGTAGCCATTTGTGGGTCAGATTGATCCCTACCATCTGCCATATTGGTACAATCCACCAGGCCACGGTGGTCATGTGGGTAATAGATGGGGTGTCTTCATCCACTGGACGAGATATTTCATGGGTAACTGTAGGATATGATGTTTCCATCTCCTACTCATTTTAGGAACTCTCTCCAGGGTTTTCAGGTTGGGGTAGTGCTCTAGATAGCAATTGGGTGGTCTTTGACGAGACTCTCATTTGTTTACCCTCTGTTTCCCACGGTCATGTTTGGGCTTTACTTGATAGACTGGACCGATAGATATGTGTTCCTGAATTACATGTATTTCCTCTTCCAAGTGTGAACAAAGCTTTCCGGGTGCTTCCCTTCCTGAAAGGTTTCCAACAGGTACGCAATAACCAGGAAGTAGGACTGCAGCAGAAGCCTTCCTGACATAATATCCTCTACCCCTGGCTAACAATTGCTGGATACTCCTCGATGCTACATCATATGCCTGTCTCGTATCTGTTTGCCATGTCTCAACATAATTCTGGTAATTACCTTGTTTAAGGTTGCCACCCAGGTCAAATAACAAGTTGACCAGTAATCTCAGAGAACAGCCAAACATCAGGAAAAAATGGTGAAAATCCAGTAGTGTCATGTCTTGTGCAGTTATAAGCATGTATAAGCCTGTTTAAGAATCCTTCTAATACGATTTCTTTACCTCTGGGAGGGTCCTTAACATAGAGAGTAAGGTACAGTTCATACGTCCTACCCGGCCATTGCCCTCTGGGTGGTTTGGAGTAGTTCACAAGGTAGCAACTCCACTAAGGCATTGGAGGCGGTGGAACAATTTGTTCTCAAACTAGCCAACTGGGTCATGATGTACGTGTGTTGGAAAAGTAAATCTCGGAATTAACTCATTGCAAATCTTCTTAGCACCAGTGTGGGCCATGTTGTTGGGTGTTGCATAGGCTTGGACATATTCAGTAAAGTAATCATATTCACCTTTGCTCTTATCCAGGTGCTGGAAATCAATGGAAACCAGCTCAAAGGGTGCTGATGACATAAGGTGCATCATGGGTGCTGTGGTGACTGTGTTTGGTTTTTTTCATGTGCAACGTTGTGTCACAAAATACTCTATGTCACGGTACATATGTGGCCAGTAAAAGTGGGATCTTGTAAGATCTGCTACTTGCTTGATTCGGAGGTATCCCATCTCTGTGTGTAGTATTATAAATGCAACTGGAATGAAGATGTAGGTGGTAGAACCAATTGTAACTTGGAACTTGTTCTTCATCGCAGAATACTATGTTCCTCAACTTCCAGCTTCTTCCATTCTCTTATAAGGTTGATAACACCATGGAGTTCATCCTTCAGTTGGCTACTGCTCAGTTTAATCACATATGTCTTGTAGTAAAGTACATGGCATATGGCACTATCTTACTCCTGTGCCTCCCTGATTTTCCTTAGGGCTGAAGGGTGTTAGATTTAGGTCCTTTAACGTAGGTTCAGGTGTTTTCATGTCAGTGGCAATTGCTGTAACCCATGGGATTGTGCCTTTTGCCTGCTCCCTTGCTGCATCCAGGGTTGCTAGGAGGACATCTTTGGGTACTTTCTCTGTACAATCTCTTATATTTGTCCATGTCCAATGGAATTCTGGACATAATGTCTGCATCAGTATAGGTCTTGCTAGGTTATTAACAGTGAAGGTGATAAAAAATGGGGAATAGAATAAGTAATCTCTGAATTTGTGAGTAATTGCCCACTTCAAGGCCAAGAATTTTAATTTCCCTGGGTTTAAGTGACAATTGCGCTCCATGGGCGTCAATGTCCCGCAGTCATAGCCAACAACTCTCGATTTGTTCCCTTGTTCATGGTAGAGCACTTCCTCAAGTCCTTCACTTGAAGCATCTATGTGCAGTACAAATGGTCGTTAAAACTCAGGATAAGCCATTAGCCCAGGCTGCATTAGAAGTTTGATGAGAAAGTTTAGTCATTCTAAGTGGCCTTCATTCCATGCGATTTTCTTATTTGATGACAGTTGTCCTTTTGATGCCGGTGACTTCCCCTTGGGATGCTCCTTTCCTCCTTTGCCTTTGTTGGACTGGTCACCACATTCTTTGGCTGATTGCAATTCATAAAGGGGTTTGGCCAATCTGGAGTAGTCACAAATATGTCGGCGGAAATAGCTTATGAAACCCAGGAGTTTGCACAATGCACCCACAGTTCTTGGTGTAGTTTCCTTAAGGGCTGCCACAGCTACAATGTTGGCTGGGTCCATTGTGAAGCCATCTGCTGACAATATTCTACCCAAGTAACCAACACAAGGCTTAAACAGCTCACATTTCTTTGGCTTCAATTTGATACCATACTCCTGCAAACGTCTAAGTACTCTCCTGGTATTGTTTACATGCTCAGAAAATGTTCTAGCTTTTACATGCTCAGAAAATGTTCTACTATACACTAGGATATCATCAAGGTATGGGATACATATTTCATCATGGAGGTCCTCCAGGTGGGATATCATTAAGGTATGGGATACATATTTCATCATGGAGGTCCTCCAGGTGTTTCTCCATGTACCTCTGGTAAAGAGCCGGTGCATTTTTTAGACCAAATGCGTTTCCACTGGTATAGACCCCAAGGGGTGATGAAAGCTGTGAGATGTCAGTGTTCTTCTGTTACAAATCCTTGGTCATAGGGCTTCCCTTGGTCTAGCACCGAAAAGTAAGTGTCTCCACTGAGGCTGTTTAGGATGTCTTGGATGCGAGGGATGGGCTGGCAGTCATCCTCTATTTTGCATTTCAACCGCCTATAGTTGACACAGTCTCAGACTGCCATCTTTTTCCCTCACGCACACAACTGGGAATGATTGAGGTGACTTCAATTTGCTTCTCTATCCACGATTGATCATATCCTGCAGGTGTGTCTTTACCTCCTCATACAAGGGCTTGGGAATTGAATTGTGTGTGTTTTTGAACTGGGTTGTCATTCCTCAAGTTGATCTCCAATTTCAATTGTGCAGCACATTCAATATCATCATCTTCTGTGGCAAAGGCCCCAGACTCTTCCCTCAACATCTTGAAAATCTCCTGTTTGTTCATGTGACAAATGCCTTAAATCAACTGGGGGAGTTCACTGTACTTTACCTTGTTTGAGGAGGCCGGGCTACCACTCATAACTTGTCTCCTCACTCCTAGTTCCACATCCCTCCTCCTCTTATTTCTTTCCAGCTTCAACTGGCAGTGGCATAACGGACTGAACTAACTGTATAGTGCCCAGCTCTGTACACCTACATAATGTCATTTCTTGTTTGGTGTTGAATAAAGGGGTAAGTTTCCAAAGAAACTGTGGTGCTGCGTCGGTGGGAGAGTATAGCAGGTAATTTAGTGTTAACAACTGGGTTGAAAACGTAAATTAGCCACCGTAAAGGGTAAAAAAGCTGACGTTTCGAGCGTTAGCCCTTCTGACCCTCACAGATGGAACAGGTATGTCTTGTTTGCCAACTCTGAGCATGCCAGTGTTAGCCAGATCGTCCATAGTTTAGATAAATTTAACTTACAGCTTGGTGATGTCGCTCTCTATCATCTTCCAGCATTCAGAGCCGTATAGTAGGGTGGACATCACACAGCTTTAGTAGATCTTCAGCTTGGTCTTGATGCTGTACTGAAAGGACCTCCACACGTTGTTAAGCGTTCTGAAGGTGTTTCTGGCCATGTAGAAACGGTTCTTGATGTCACCCTCTGCTCCTCCATCATGCCTTACTATCCTGCCCAAGTAAGTGAACTCTTCAGTCGTTGACAGGTCTTCTCTGTTCACTTGAACTGGTTTAGGGTTGGACACGTTCAGCAGCATCACTTCTGTCTTCTTTTGGCTGATCTTTAGGCCAACTTCCTTTGCGTAAGTGCTGAGTTGGGTTGTCTTTTCCTACATGTGTTGGTGAGTATGGGAGACCAAGGCTACATCATCTGCAAAATCTAGGTCCTTCAGCTTTGAGAAGAGGGTCCATCTAATGCACCGTGACTGATCTTCTATTGTGCGCTTCATTACCCAGTTGATGGTCATGTTGAAGAGCACTGCCGACATTGTACAGCCTTGTCTGAGGCCAGTCTTCACTTCAAACCTGGTTTTGCTGTTGTGTACTCTCCATGTGAATTTGCTGTAGAAGCTTTTGATGATGTTGATAATCTGCTGTGGTATACCATAATCCTAAAGGATGTGCCACAGACTTTCCTGGTGCACGCTGTCAAACGCCTTCTCATAGTCTACAAAGTTGATGTAGAGTTGTTTCTGCCACTCTGTGCACTGCTCTATGATGTTGCACAGGGTGAGGATCTAGTCTGTGCATCCCTTTCCTTTCCAAAATCCTGCCCTCTCTCTTCTCAGTTGTTAGTCCACTGTGTTGGCTATTCTCTGGATGATGATCTTTGCCAGGATCTTGCTAGGTACAGATAATAAGGTGATTGCTCACCAGTTGTTGCAGTTGTTGGGGGCACCTTTCTTCGGAATCTTCACAATGACTCCCTCTGTCCAATTTTCAGGTAACTTCTTCCCCTCCCAGATGTCTGTAAAGAGTGTCTGGAGTAGGTCTGCTAGCTGTGGATCTGCTTTAAACACTTCTGCACTGAGATTATCTTGTCCAGAGGATTTTCCGTTCTCGAGGGACTTGATGGCTGCTATGATCTCCTCTTTTCCTGGGGATTGGTGTTGACATCCAGGTATGTCCCTACCTCTTGCATATCTGAATCTGTGGTGGTGGTGGTGGTCTGTTCAGAACCTCACTGAAGTGTTCCATCCATCGTGCATCTTGCTTGGCTTCTGTCATGAGTAGTCGCCCCTTCTTGTTCATGATTGGAGTGTCAGAACCTCCTCTGTACCTGCCATACACCAGCTTGGTGATCTTGTAGATTCTGCCTTGCTCTCTCCTGCTTGCTGCATCTTCTGCCTGGCTTGCAATGTCGCTTATGTGGCCCCACCAGTAGATAAAGCTCCCACCGGCATAGCTCTAGGGGTCTCCAAGGCACTCAAGCCTGCCAACCACAACAAGGCGGCGATCCTTTGGGGGTTCCAATACTATGCCACAACACAAACTTGAGCTCCAGTATCCCACAGGGCATTGACTCTCTTCCCTTGGACCACATAAGAAACAACGCATTTTCTTCCAACTAATTTGATGAGTTTAGAGCGTTGTCTTGGAGTTAAGTGGAAAGGGAATGATGTTTTCAAAGTTTCACCACTTGCTGTTGTTCCCCTCTCTCTCAGTTCAACCTCACTGATGGCTTGACTTAGTTTTTTATGCTCTTCCCATTGTTTCCTATGACACACTTTTGAACAAGAATGGCTCCCATGGCATGGTGAGCAGCGAAAGTATTGACATGCCCAGTCCTCCCTCTTTCCACAGTTCATGCATTGTTGGGACTGCTCATGGATCTGATGGGCTGCTCCCTGTCCTGTTGGGGCAATGCTTCCCATTTTTCCCTAGGGGGTTGTTGAGTTGTAGCTCCTTCTGCTTGGTTTTAGACATTGGTAACTAGGCCCTCCCTTGTTCTGCAGGGTTGTACTGTAGGTGAGGGTTATTATGACTTTGTTGTTCCATACCCTCCTGGATAGTGGCAGTTCTGTTTTCAACTCTCTGACTTCAGTAAGGTTAACTTTTGGCGGCTTTTCTGGGGTTTATCTTCAACTGAGGCTCCACTACCATTGTGGGTGGTCCCTTGAGCTACAAGTTGTGTGGGGGCTCAGTTTGTGAGCTGGCCATGGTGGGAACCTGGCCTCTGCATTCTTTCTGTTTCATTATTAACTGCTGCATCCAATTTCTCAAAAAGTTCTTCATCCTTTACTTGGGTGTTTTGCAGGCATGGTTTTATCTCCATTTTGATGCTATAATTCTGTAGCCCAGTTAATAATGAATGCAGAAACACACATTGTACCAGCCAAGGGTCATACTTTAAGTCAGATCCTGCTTTTCAGGAGGCAAGGAGTACTTTCTGCCTTATGTCTGGGAGGTGAACAAAAAAGTCCTAAGAGGTTTCCCCCACTTCCTGTACTGCAGAACTAAGCAGTTGGTACATTTCCGTT